TTAGGAAAGTACTTTAGTTTGGCTGGCATTGTGTTTTTTTAACTTTGAAAAGGTCTCTGACACTGTAGACCATTGAAACGCTTTCCCGTAACGTAGTAATATAATTAAGGATGGAATGATTCATTGACCATCCTCATGATAGAGGTCTCTGACACTGTAGACCATTGAAACGCTTTCCCTTAATGTAATAATATAGTTTTTAGGGAAGGAATGATTAATTGACTATCCACATGATAGAGGTCGATGCACTGTTGTGTTCTCGTTGTATGTGAAGAATCGAGAAGTTATGATGTATGTTGATGGTGCAATTACTCTATTTATTCCGGAAAATTCCATATACCAGCACGAAATAATTTGTCTGATGAGAACTATTAATAAAAAAAACTTTGTTTTTTAAGTATTTCGATTAAAAACAGCGTTTTGGGCTAGTTTTTTTTTTTTGGGGGGGGGGGGGGGGGAAGGGGATGTAAGTCCAATAGGTGGGTATGAGACGATAACAACATAAATGAATAATAATCATGTTATTTTGTAAAGGAAGCCTTAATTAAACAAATAGACAGGAAAACTGTTTCAAATCCTCTTAAAGGTGCTCCATAACTTTCGAGGCAGTTTAAGATTGCGACAACAGCAGACCTTTCAGCAACACATACTAATAAAACTTGAAAGTGACACAAAATAAGAGATAGTGAAAGCCATTTAAAATGCAATTAGTCAAAGTTTGTGGGAATGGAATCGTGAGAAATATGCAAAAGCTTTGTAAATCAGCAGACCTTCTTCCGAAATAGACGGCTTCAATGATTGAATGGCGCGAAAGATGGCGGAACCTTTAAGCAAATATTCGCTTTGGGTTTTACGAATTCTTACTTTCATTAAATCGTAACTGGTATTGCAAGTAAATTTCAAGCATAAGTTCCATTCCTATCTCTTCTCTGTGATGACATCAACAAATAAATGGCTACGATCAACATTGGTAAACAAAAATGAAATAATGTTTCTTGATTGAAACTGTGTCAAAAAAACCCGGCAAAAACCATTGAATCTCTTGAGACAACTGACAACAAGGGTCATGCGGCCCGAGAACAAATCCGAAAACAGACGCCAAATAAAACAGAAAAACAACAAAAACAACAACAAATTACCTTTTAAAATGGATCGACGTACGCGTTATCCTAAACTGTACTGAGGATACCCCCAACGAGTGGACATGTGGACATGTACTTCACAATCATGTAAAGATTATGTTTCATACGTTTCATACGTTTTATTTTACTGATAACAAATGGTTTATTTATATAACGAATTTTTGTTCTCAGAAAATGAAATGCCAATATTTCAGGAGTTTATACCAAATACTGCAACCCAATATTGATAGCAAGATTTATTAAAAACAGACCTTTGGTTCGCAAAAGAAACACATTCTGTTGTTTATAAACATGTTCTAACGTCGACAAGAATGAATCTACCTTTAACTTAACGTCTGTATAGTTATTTGTTTCACGTCATGTTTCCTAAGACCTATCACAATGAAGAGTCAAACGCCTCACCTGGTTTGTGGCATCCGATAAATGCTTGGTATCTCTCTGACACTGAATAAGACGAGCAGCTTTTGTTGCGTAACATTCTGTAAATACAGCTCGTCCGTTGTGTCACACTAGTCGTGCCGCCATAGTCATATACATCCCACCAATATTTAATATCACCAAAGTTGAAGATATGTCGATCATTACTATAGGATAGATCAATTAACGAATCATACAGTAGAGCCAAACTGCCATCCGCAAGTTCGACCTGTACCTCGTCTTCATATAAATCAGATTAGAGGATGAGACGAATACCTAATGAGACAAACCCTGGCCAGTAACTGTGAGTAACAGTATCCGAACTGTGAGAATGATGCTCTAACATACTGCTCTGTAGTTTCGCTGACACAGCTACAGACAGACAGAGATAGGTTTTGTTTAAGGTTTCATGAATTGTAATAAAGTGACAAAGTAGAGACTGTTCCTGCAAACTTCACTCAAGTAAATTAAGCTAATTGCCGACTCCTGACAACCAAACAAAGCTGCACTCATCGCAATAACTAATAGTGGGCGATCAATTGAGGATGATACGAATACCCCTTATTCAGTCACATTGGAGTTAGTTTGGAGGCACAAACCATGGTCAATCGTTGTGAGTAACATTAGTAATATTTAATGTGAGACTATGCAAATAGCAAACTGCACTGTACTTAAACTGACACACCTATACCCCATTCACAGTGGTTTTGAAATTTGTAGCGGCGTTGTAGCGGAGCGGCGACACCGCCATAACACCGCTACAAATGCATTCACAGTAGAAAAGTTATCCCGTTGCAGCAGCGGGATAAATATCATGTACCCATTCACGCTGCAGCGGGTGATTGTTATTACCTCCGTAACAAACACGTGTATGCATGGCTCATGACCCGCGAGTGACCCCGATATGACCAGAAATACTTCAGCGCGGGGTTTTCGATTAAGGCAAGCTTGCAAAAGGTAAACATGTCAAGTTGTTTTTTGTATCCTCGATCATATTACTTTTTAAAAAACTAGCATTTTTATTGCTTCCAGTCAGAATATTTTAATTTTTTGAAGTGTGAAATATTTTTATTTGGATAATTATAATATCTACATAATAATAAAATCAATTTGAATCCACTGGTTACTTTATTTCTATTTCACTTTATGTTCCCCATTGCTGGAGAAAAGAGGTCAGTGATAGGTAAGTAAACAAATCACACGTGTTTTGCGCGGTGTTATAGCGGAGAGCCTTCACACTGAGTAAACACCGCGACAGCAGCGGGACTGTCCCGCTGCTGTAGCTAGGCGAACCTAGCGATAGTTTGTCGCGGCGTTATCGCGAGGCGGTGTTATCCCGCGATAGTTTATAACGGGTCCGAGCCTTCACACTGAAGACAACACCGCGACAGCAGCGAGACAGTCCCGCTGCTGTCGCGGTGTTTGAGGCCACTGTGAATGGGGTACTAGAGACAGATTGTGCAAGGATTGGTTTAAAGGCACTATGTCCAACTTGAAGGCCAACAAATACGAAAAGGTTAAATTCCAACGGCATTTAAAAGATAATACTAATTTAGAACTTCCATAAAAAGGGGGGCTTGATGTCTTTAAGTGGGAAAATAACGACTATTAGTTGTCAAATCGACAAAGTACTACCAAACCAGTAAGTAGTAGTCTGATTTTCAGACCATTGTACCGAATGGTTGTAAGTTTTGTGCTGCACAAAGATTGAATCAGTTTAATATCGGCCATTACAAGAAGTGGGTTATTGATGTAGCAAATGCTCATGTACCCTTTACAGCTCATTTTATGTATGTTATTACCAAAGAAGAAGAAAAATTCATTCAGTCACTCAATAGTGTCAGACAGTGACATCTAGCAAATAAACGGGTTTCCTTGCATAATTTGAATATTAGGACACTGCTTACGTTTAAATTTCACAGATACGAAATACATTACATATTCATAATTCCTGCAAAATTATACAGAATTTGATGTTGGCTGCAAAAGGGACATGGTATTTTTAAGGCTTCATGAATAAGCCAGTTCACGTTTGCAGTCTGAGCATGAGCAGATAAAGGTCAGTGCAGAACAAATTTTAAAATACACGGAGACGAAATACTGGATACGTGCTCATGAAAATTATGTAACATTATTCATTCATGCACATTCAGTGCACTCCATGGTACACAGGTGGAAGTATTCTTTGAAAAGGGGGAACAAAGGCTATTTATAAAAGCACCTCCATCGCTGTAGGAGTGATTATTTTAAAACGTACAGAGTGAGACCTCTTCATGTTTTGAAGATATGTGGATGTCCGGGGTCATTGCAATAACGTGCTAACCGTGAACTGGTATATTGTAATAACGTGAACTGCAAACTAAACTAGAGTTACCTAAGACTCAAGCCTTGAAAGAGGCTGTAGAATGACGATACTATGCGCCTTTCCCGAGGCCCACGTTTTACACTTCTTTAACAGCGGAATACATGGATTGCACTGAACCAGATTGTTATGACTTGAACATAAAGGGGTATTTTCTTGGCCAACCTTCGCGTAAGCGACATTCAATCACAAACATATTGCGTATTGCCCCCCCCCCCACTCAGTGTTATTTAGGGTACGCATATGCGTGTTCCAAGCGACCCCCCTCCCCCTTTCAGCAAAAGTCCGGTGTGTAAAGTCAATATGAGTCAACCTTTTTCTTTTGTTATTCGATCCTTTTTCAGCACCCCCCTCCCCTTTTCAGCAAAAGTCCGGTGTGTAAAGTCAATACGGGTCGACCTTTTTCTTTTGTTACGAAAAGGACATGTTGGTAACATGCATGGGGTCCGTCCGTTCTCGGAGTGCGGGGGGGGGGGAGCGGGCGTATTGCGCAAGTAAAATAGACAATGGACTGACCTACATCTTTTGGATTTCGCTGGTCAGAAATAATTTTAGAGAACAAGTGGAATCAGACGCAAACAATGGAAACGGAAAATAAGAACTATGTTCTGAAAGTTCTTACCTTTTTAAACATATAATTTTGACTCATAGAGCCCCCTCCCTCTTACCCACAAAATTCCCGTACCACATTGTCAAAATAACTTAGATGCCTTTTTATATTGTCGTGATATTGTTTTTGCTTATATCTAACAAAACTTTAGACACACTTGATACAAATAATGTTGCACAAATGGAACACTACAGGAGTATAAAAATATATCATTGTCAATTTGAAATAAAAATATGAGTCCGCCGAAATAGAGATCCCCACTATATTGTCATGACTTAAGGAAAAAACATCACCACAAAGCGTAAACAGCCGGATAGGATTCAGGAAAAAACCGTACGAATGTATATAATTTATAGTTGTGTGTGTATGTTGCCATTACCCAACACCAAAATGGAGTTTTGTTTGTATAGTTACTTAGTTCACGTCATGTTTCCTAGGTCCTATCACTTTGAAGAGTCAAACGCCTCACCTGGTTTGTGGCATCCGATAAATGCTTGGTATCTCTCTGACACTGAAGCAAACGAGCAGCATTTGTTGCGTAACGATCGGTAAATACAGCTCGTCACTTGTGTCATACTAGTCGTGCTGCCACGGTCAAAAATTTCTCACCAATATTTGATCTAACCAGAGTTGAAATTATGTTGATAAATACTATAGGTTAAACCAATTATTCAAATCATACAGTCGAGCCCAACTACCATCCGCTAGTTTGACCTGTACCTCGCCTTCACATAAATCAGATCCGAGGATGAGACGAATACTCAAAACTTAGGCACACCATAGTTAGTTTACAAGCACAAACCCTTTTAAGTCGCTGTGAGTAACTGTATCTGAGCTGTGAGAATTATGCAAATAACATACTGATCTGTCGTTAAGCTAGTACAGCTACAGACAGACGGAAGTAGGCTTTGTTTAAGGCTTAATTAATTATAATAAAGTGACACATTAGAGACTGTGCCTGCAAACTACACTCAGGTGAATTAAGCCGTGTCACATTAAGCTTATTGCCGACGTCTGACAACCAAACAAAGCTGCACTCATTGCAAGAATTAATAGTGGGCGATCAATTGCCAATCGGTGGAAAGGCATTTGTCGATCGGTTACGTAAAGTTGTACGATAATTGTCTTTTTATCAGAGATTTTCGTTAACTAATTTGCTACCACTCGGTGATATATTGTTGAATTGTAGACATTTATTTCTTCAGAAATTGATCGGAGATAATAAATAACTGGTTGAAGATCAATAGCCGATGTTCTTACAACGGCAGGCAAGATATACATTTAGGGAAGGAGTATCATCACTGGTTCAAACAAGCATAGGAAAATTCTCGCTCATCATTAGTAAATGTATTTTTTTAGATAAGGTGTTTTACTCTGTTTTTTTTTTACATTTCTTTAAAAGAGGAATAAATGGGTTGCATTGAAGCTGATTATTATTATGAATTGATCATTAAAAAAAGTAATCATGAAATAAGAGAGGTAGGTTGAGGTTAAAGGTATTATGTTTCATTTACAGGCCCCAACAAATGAAAAGGTTAAATTGGAACAGTAATCGAAAGGCAATACTAATTTAGAATTTCCCTCAAAACGAGGGCTTGAAAATGTTTTTTTTTAGTGGGAAAATAGTTTTCGAATCATCAAAGTAATAGTCTTATTTTCAGACTATTTTACCAAATGGTCGTACGATTTGCGCTGCACGAAAGGTCAATCAGGTTAATTTTGGCCATAACAAGACTGGTTTTAATGTAGATAAATGACAGTTGAAGTTTAGGAGGTAGACGGGTTTCATTGCATGATTTGAGTACTACGACACTGCTTATGCTTAAATGTCACAGACAACTATGGGCTGGTTGATGAAAGATGGGTTTGCATGATTATCTTAACCCTAATCCTAACCCTAACCCTAACCCCAACTCTAACCCTAATCGAAATCACTTACTAAATTATATTCCTTACCCTAAGGCAAAACGTTTAATCTACACTACATTGCATCCAGCTGGTTTAGGTAAAGACAAGATGCAGTCCGTTTATCAAGAGTCTGTATAGACTATGTACTGTATACATGATGTACTGTATAGAAGATGTACTGAACGTAATTGGTTTTAAATGCTATTGAGCTGATTCCTTTTTGTAAAATATATTATTAACAATTTAAATCAATTTTATTTTTGAACACTTTTAATCTTGCTCTCGGAATATGTACACATCCTCTAGAACATATTCAACTTTAAATTAGTATATATTTATCATTATGCCTTGATACATACCTACGCCCGGTGCGTATTGCACACCCTCAAACGTCTCGCACCCATAAAGGTGCAAATTTACACCGCTTGTAAGATACTGCATCATACAAGGAGCAGATCAGCACCCTCTGCCAAGTACGTGTAGGTGGGTGCAAATCTACACCCCCAAATGCACCCTTTTCTTAGTTGTATAGATTTCAAATACTAGTGTGGGTTTTGTTTCCACCAACACCAAGTTAATTATGGACGCCTTTGCTGTTCTAAAATATAATAATGGTATATAATCAGGGAGTTGGAATGAATGGAAATCCCGTCCAAGAGGCCACTTAGGAATCATCCGTGGTACCGCGCGTCTCCCCCTACCGTAATCATATTAATCCCCCTTCCGAGACCACATAGCTCCCTGGTAGCACTAAGTTCCCCCTTTCCACCCACAGCCCAGCCCAGTGAGAAAGGCGGCTTATGCTTATGAATTGACAACTTCTAACCCTCATTTAACACATGCGCAAACATATGAAACCATTACATTTATTTATTTTGGGAGATAAACCATTGCACTACCTTCCTAATTATTACAACAATTTGAAAATTATGGGAAAATTTGCTCTTGTTCACGTTTTCCTTGGTCGATTCGATGGTTCAAATGGCTATGTCTCCAGTAGAGTTACCCAAGCACGAGAAAAGGATTTGATTATCAATATAAAGTTGTGTTGGTGATATTTTGTGGATTCTGTTGTATAGCTATATATATCTTCACTGAACAATGGCACCACAAAAATGACGTCATGTTCAATGAACATGAAGTCATTGATGCGGTGCCACGCATGACTTGCAAGCTCTATGCCTCCATACCTTTACAACCGAGTGAATAGAAAACTTAGGGAAGAGGACGGCGATGCGTAATCTTTCGTAATATTTGGAATACTAGAGGGGAATTGTGGTTAGATAAGGTCAGCTGTTGATGGATTTGATGGATTGAGAGTTACATTTCATGTTGTTAAGTCAATTTAATCCAGAATATATTTCCCGCGGGAAATTCTTTCGAGACGGTATCTCCATTCATTCCAACTACCTGGTATAATGATGTAAGAAAGATTGTAGATTTCACTTCAATATTATGACATGTTTCCTGGTATTTAAAAAGAATTATTGATTAAAAACTAGAAGATTTTAAGTTTAAATCCATGTATCAAATATTACCATCCTCCGTCTCTCAGCTTGTCACTAAGCCTAAATTAACATGTTGTTCGTTATTTACTGACCAGGCTTTAGCGATAGAACCTCTCGTTCTCGTCGAGTTACATTTTTGATGTCGTCGTGGAGTGGTTTAATCACTTGACTAAAAGTTAAATGGTCGCGGGTACGAGTCCCAATACAGCATTTGTTTATTTCCTAAACCAAGACCTTTTAACTGCATTGCCCCTTTTTGGCAAAGTGCTTAATACTTGCCCGGTAGAATGCACACGTCAATGCGGTTGGATTAGCATGTGTGCGCCCGTTAAATAAGTGACTAGCTGGGATCTCCTCCAGTGGCGTACCTGGGGTACTCCGTCGGGGGGGGGGGGGGGGCAAGCGACCGAAACAAACAAAAAAAGGCGATGCTAATTTTCACTTCTGGCGAGCGAGCGAGCAAAAAAAAATCTTTAAAGGTACTATGTCCCTTTTGCAGCCAACTTCAAATGCTGTTGTCCTATCTGTGAAATTTAAACGTTAGCAGTGTCCTCATATTCAAATTATGCAAGGAAAACCGTTTACTTGCTAGACTTCACTGTCAGACACTATTGAGTGACTGACTGGCTTTTTTTCTTCTTTGGTAATAACATACATGAAAAGAAATGTAAAGGGTACATGAGCATTTGTCTACATCAATAACCCACTTCTTGTGATGGCCAAGATTAAACTGATTGAATCTTTGCGCAGCATAAAACGTATGACCATTCGGTACAATTGTCTGAAAATCAAGACTATTACTTTTGGGCTCTATAGCCCTAAAGTCGATTTGACAACTAATAGTCGTTATTTTCCCACTTGAAGACATTTTCAAGCCCCACCTTTTTTAGGGAAGTTCTAAATTAGTATTATCTTTTAAATGCAGTTGGAATTTAACTTTTTCATTTTTTTGGCCTGCAAATGGGACATAGTACCTTTAAGTAACGTTTGGTATATAAACTGATATTGTTGCAAGTTGGGGGTGGGAACATTCACTTGTTAGCGACGTTAATTTCATTTTTTTGCAAACGAGTGTAGCGAGCAAGAAAAAAAAAATCACTTCTTTTTTAATAATTGCCACTTAAACTCAATTGTCCCATGCAGGGCGCTGGAACAATATTGTGTTTAGAGTAATTTTATACCAATTTTAGCTAGCGAGCGAAAATACATCTTTCTCTCAATGAATTGCTATATAAAATTTGTTTCATTGTTGCCGGTAGGGGCGGGCACAATCGTGTTTAAGGCAATGTCAATCCCATTTTGGCGGGCAGGCAACCCCCTACATTTCTCTTTTTAATGATATTGTAGCAGGTTAGTGGTGGGCACATAATTCCACGAGCTAGCGAGCGTAGCGAGCGAAAAAAAAAATCACTTTTCTTTTATAGGGAAAATAAATTATGGTACGTAAAACTTGGGTTCATTGTTCCATGTCAGGGACGTGATTATTAAAAGCGGTGTTATTTCTATTTTGGCGAGCGAGCGTAGTGAGCGAGCAAAAAAAAAATCACTTCTCTTTTATAGGGAAAATATGGTATATAAACTTGGGTTCATTGTTCCATGTCAGGGACGTGATTATTAAAAGCGGTGTTATTTTTATTTTGGCGAGCGAGCGTAGCGAACGAGCAAAATTTTTGTAATGATAATTGGTTCATAAATTTCAGATTTTTTTGTTGCAGGGCAGGGCTTACACAATCATGTCTAAGGTGATGTTAATTCCGTTTTGGCGAGCACGAGCACACCAAAACTTCTTTGAATAACGTTTGGTACATACTTATTAACTGGTTGTTGAAGGTTAGGGCGACCACGTTAGCGGTGTCAAATCCATTTTGGCGAGCGAGCATAGCGAGCAAGCGAAAAAATAAATTCTCTTTTAATAGAAATTGATAAATAAACTTTTTTTTTTTGGTGCAGGTCAGGATGGATGCAATCGCGTTTAACGCGATTCTATTCCTTTTTGGCGAGAGGGCGAAAAAAACCTTCCATTTTTAATGATATTGTTGCAGGTCAAGGGTGGGCACAATTGTTTCCAAAGTAATGTCTATTCATTTTATTCGCGAGGGAGTGTAGCGAGCGAGAAAAATGAATTAGTCTCTTTTAGTAACATTTGGTACATATATTGTGTGTTATTGTTGCCA